TTTCTAAGGCCGAGTGCGCGTAAATGGATAGTGTTCACCGAGCACACAGCACGTCGGCAGTACCTAACGAGGACATCCGACAGTGGAAAGTGCAAAGCTCTCGAGTTGAACATCACAGTGTCTAGTTTGGGCCGGCCAAGTTTAAATAATTTATCGCCCGTTAAATAATCAACAAGTTTGTGTTTCTCGGTTCGGTAGAGCGCGGGTCGCATACTGTTATATCCTCGGTGGCCGCGAACTTGGTAATAATTAACGTCGGCACTGACATTAAGTCGGAGTGTAAAGACACGAGGTGTAATTAAAAAAAAAAATATACAAGTAAAATGCCGTAAAACTCGGCTTTGAAAATAATTGATCAAAATCCGTCTAGCAGACAATGGTGTTTCCAAATCATTTGCCCGCTCGTTTTGACGTCAGCCTACTCATAAATAATAATAAAATAATAATAATAATACATTTTAATATAAGTCTGTGCAAAACGAGCCGAGTTGTAAATTATGTCAATTATGTACAAAAAAGGGACAAAGTTGTATAAATATTTCCCAACAAGTTTTTTTAAAATTTGCTTGTTTTGTTCCCGTATAATATACTTAGACCAAAACCAAATTTTCTCGATACATTTTCAACGTTTTATTTAAATTTTCCCAAAAGTAGCAAGTCTAGGCTTATCCCCTTTTGCCAAAACACATATATAACGAAAATATGGGAATAGTATAGGCTATTTTAGCCGACTTGACATAATATATATATATAAAACATTTTACTTAGGTCAATTATTCAAAATGGTATTATACATATCAGGATAACATTGAATTACCTACAATTGTTTTGGTGATGTTTCAAAATTTCAAAGACCAATGACTATTATTTTAGAAATTTTGGGCAACGTTTCTCATATGTTGTGTATAATTTTCTTTAACCCATACCCGTTAACACGATTAAAGATAGTAAATAAAATGGAACGTTTTAGATAATTATACTAATAAAATATGCGCTACTAAATCTAGAAATTATCACTATAGTCAAATATGTGCAAAATAACTTTGCCGATTCGAAATCTAGTCTTTGTGAATCGAATTTCTATCGTATTTGGTATAATTCTGATTTCACTAATGCAAAATCACAAACATCCGAGCTTTAATGATCATGTAACATACTAAAATTTGATTGACAAAAAAACTGGCTACCCCTGTATCTCCCCCCTCTCACCCCCGCCAATTTTATCATATTTTCACTTTAAGCGGTGTACGTAAGACATAATATGATAGTATGCTTTCGCTTAAATGCCTAACCTATCTACCTTCTCTATCAAAAACTATTACAGACAGTTAGAATCTAGCCGTCTAACTATATCTAATCTAAATTCTCAACCTAAGCCGGAATTAGATAAACCTTAACCTACTCCGAACCTAACCCGGACCTAATGTAAGTTTTTAATTTCGACAATTATTCATTACAAAAGCATATTTTATTTAGAAAAAGTTACCCAAAAAATGCCATTTTTTTTTTTTTAACTTTCTTTCCGCCCTCGCGCGCGTTAAGGGCGCGCGGCAGAAAGTAGGGGGTAAACGTAGGGAGTTGGGGGCGTGTGGGTGTTGGGGGGGGAGGGGGCGACCGGGAGGCGAGTACACGCCCGGGTCGACGGAACGGTTGTAACTAATGACTAGCAAAACGGTCTCCTCCTCCTCCTCCTCCTCCTCCTCCGTTTTTCTCGACCGCTCCTCCGCCTCCCTCAACTCCGTGCCTCCCGCCGCCGTCCGTCCACTTACAATTCCGAATCTGTGCTTTTCCATGCATCGCGATTACACACGTCTTATATATATATATATATATATACATACGTACACACACACACAATACACGTATAATGTAAGTCTCGCAGAGTATATATAACACACACACACACACAGAGAGACAGCAGAATGCGTGGTGTGCTCCGTTCGTTTTTGAAAAGTGCGCGTATACATTATATGGAGTGAGTGTGTGTATATATATATATACATACATACATACATACATACACATTGTTAGCACACGCGTGGGCGAACTTTTGTGCGCGGAATGGAAGTCGAGCGGAATGAGTACGGCGGCGGCGGCGGCGGGAGGGAGGGAGGGCGTGCAGACGCCGGCCGCCAATCGTTTGTCAACGTCACGGGTCCCGCCTGGCTTACACCGGTGCTCGGTCACGGGGCCGCCCAGCACGGTTGCCACGAGCAACGGCGGCGAAGGCGGCGGCGGCGAGTCGATTCCGCCTGTCCGTCACCACGCGCCGTCCGTCCGTCCGTCCGTGTGTGTGTGTGTGTGTGTGCGTGCTCGCGTCAGGGGAAGTAAGAAGAGAGAGTGGAGGAGGTAGGAGGATGAGGAGTAGGAGTAACGCGCAGACGCCGTCCGGTTCGGGAGGGCAGTGGCGGCAGTGGCGGCGGCGTAACGCCATCGAAACTTGCGACGACGGTACACGTTTTGTTTGCGCGTAGACGGCGCGCGCGGTACAACGCCATTGCGACACGACGCGGCGGCGGCGGCGGTACAACGGTATTAACGAGCGCGCGGCGGGACACGTTGTCCGATGATGATAATAATAATAATAATAATAATAATAATAATAATATATATATATATATATACAGGGTGATCCATTCGACACGCGTTATGAAAATTATTTTCTCGTCCCAATACTCTTGTCGTAGGTACATAATATTATTTTAATTAAAAAATGTTCAACACTTACACAATTTGTCTGTCCTCTGTTAGATTCATAATATTAAGATTGTGTGTCCTCCTTTTCATTTCATGATTGAAACCAATTTCAGATCAATACCAAGTCGAATGATTTTTCACCAATTTTCCGCTATTGGAAAACCCACAATTAACAATCACACAAAATATGTCACACCACTTAGGTACACAACACCGAACAGCTAAAATTTTTTATACAAGTATTTTTTTTTTTTGTGTGTACTTAACGCGACACGTGCGGTTAATATTTTATTTTCTTAACGTTTTTTTTTTTTTTTTATTATATACCTACCTTTTTTTATTTTTCACCATAGCCTGATAAAATACCTACTTACAGACACAGACGAATAACCATCTCAGACCTATTCTCTCTCACTCTTTCCACAATTGATGCAACTCCTAAGACCTAGACTCCTCCTTATGTATTTGTTTTCTTATTCTAACCAACCTAGTCACTCCACTCATCCATCTTATCATTCTCATCTGCGCTACACTCTTTCTCTGTTCAGTTTTTTCATGTCTACTGCCAAACATTCCGACCCATATAGCATTGCTGGCCTCGCTACCGACTTACAAAATCTACCTTTCAATCTTATAGGCATCCACTCTTCGTCCATCCATTCGTTTGTCCTACCGATCCTAAGTACTTGCGCCTATCAACCTCACACTCTCCAACATCACCCAACGATTGTCTCCGTTTTGTTCCTGCTAATCCTCAGTCATTTGTCTATCAAGCGATTCTCTTCACTATAAAAATTTCTCGCCCAATTCTTCGAAATGCGCAACGTAAAATGTTATTCATTTAATTAATAATTACATTAAAAGTGCATGGTAGCATTTATCGGTTATCAATAGCCGAAAATTGTTGATAATGTTTCAATATAGGTACAACCACCGGACCAGATGAAACCAGATGGCGCACTACCTATATGAAACCTATGTAATTCAACAATAACAAACCAAAACCATTCTCGACTTACAGAGAAACTGGTTACTGATAGATAATATCACTGGTGGAAAAAAAAACAATTCTTTATGACAAATTATCGTTTCAGAACTGAACACCGCTGAAATCTAACCTAATCTAACCACAAACCTAACCAAACCTCACCAAACCTAACCTAACCTAACCAAACCTAACCAAACCTAACCAAACCTCACCTAACCTAACCAAACCTAACCGATGAGCACAGTTTCGGTTATCAGTAAAGTGGCGCGATTTGTGGGTATCATCCAATCTGCGATACTTATATATACTTAGGTAGATATTTATATCTGGATCAATTTTCTTGTCGCCTTTGCCGAGATAGTATTTATTAGCTATAATACAGGAGGATGAAAAAAAAAAAAGACTCGAGGAAGTGAATACACTACTAATACAAACGGTCAACTGCAAAATAAACAACCCGGAGAGTATCGATTACACTTATTTTTTATTTCTTTTTATTACATAATTTATATTATATCACAATACACATAGAATTAAAAATCGTATACAGTCTGCATACTTATGTACATGAATGTTTATATATATGTATATATATAATATTATATATATACATAGTGGTGTCGTATATATATACACACACAGTCACAATATTATTTTACATGGCGTTTAATATTAACACAATAATTTTACAAGGATTAAAAAAAAAAATGTTTTTTTTTTATTTACAAGTCATCTATATTATAATATACCTATATATATATTATACTGGCACGGGGCAAAATTATAACAAACAATTTGTTTTGGTTTTTTTTTTCTTTTGTTGTTAATGTCAAGTATTCAGTTATTATTATTTTATTTTTTTTTTTTTTTTTACAAATATATATTATACTAAAGCGAATACACTGCGCTTTAGCCGTTCAATACAATTTTCGTATAATAATAATAGTAATAGTAGTAATAATAATAATAATAATAATAATAATAATAGAAATTGAACGTTCAATTGTGGTAACTAAAAAAAAAAAAAAAACAAAATCGATTTAACATAATATTATCGCTAAACGAAAAAAAAATATATATATTCATTAAAAGGTGGATGGATACAATAACAAAAAAAAAATTACAAGAAATAGGTAATGTTAACAAAAAAAAAAATCGAGAGGGGGAAGTTTAAAAAAATTACATAAGGCAAAGGGTGGAACTGGGTGGAGGTGGGAGGAGTTTTATTTAAAATATGTATCAACTACACTAAGGCGAAAATATAGTATATTTTACTTGTATTTAGTCGAGGGCGAACAGTGTGTCGTTCGTTTGGTTTTGTTTTTTAATAAAAAAAAAAAAAATTGTGTTTTTTACACCGACCGATCCGTCATCATCGCTATTCAATATAATATTATATTATATTAATCAATATAAAATATAACATATACAGTGTTGTACAATGTTACATATAAAAAAAAAACGGCGACGTTTACAAAAAAAAAAAAATTATATACATATATAAATATATATGCAATATAAATACAGTAGTCGACGTTTTTTTTTTTTTTTTTTTGAAAAATGAATGAAATTAAAATTAAAAAATAATAATATAGGTAATAATAATTAATAATTAATAATAATAGATAATAATGTACACGATTGAAGTTAATAATAATAGTAATAATAATTATTACACGATTAGAGGGTACGTATACGCGAGGTCGTCGGCCTTTTTGTCGGTCCTCGTCGGCCTTTGTCGGTTGTCGTCGGCCTTTGTCGGTCCTCTTCGTCGTCGTCGTCGTCGTCGTTCGCTCCGATTCGAGTCGAGTCGTCGTTTGTTTCGAATTTATTTAATATTTGTATTTAGTTTAAGTTTTTTTTTTTTTTTTGTCAAATTTAATTTAATCATCTTATGTATTAAAATTATTATTATTTTAATTTTTTTTTTTTTTAGTCTTGCACGGTCCAAACTTGCGCCGAGTTCAGCCGGCCCGGGTCTCATAGGTGACCGTAGTATTGTGGGTGCGGATGATGGCCGTAGTAAGCGTCGGCCGCTGCGTAAGCGGCATCCGGTCTGGGCAACATTTCGGCGGCATAGGCCGAAGGATCCGGACCGCCGTATCCGGCCGGGCTAGGACCGCCGGCGTGCGGAGAGAACACTGTAAGAAAAACAAACAAAAAAAAAACACATACATAAGTCTCGTTGCGGTAATGAATTTGGAAAAAAATATACGATTATACAACAAGGTGGGTTGTCCGTCTCTTGTGAAAATGTCAAACCCCCTCGTCCCCCAGAGTTGTGCAAATTTATATTCGAATAAATATTTGAAGACAATTTATTCGAATTAATAGTTATTCCAACAATTTGTTTTCAATTTATTCGAATAATCAAATTATTTTTGATAATTATTCTGAAATTTATTCGAATAAAAACAATATTCTGATAATTATTCTGAAATTTATTCGAATAAAAACATTATTCTGATAATTATTCGAATAAAAACATTGTTCTGAAATTTGTTCGAACAAAAACATTATTTTCATAATTATTCGAATAAAAACATTATTCTGAAATTTGTTCGACGAAAACATTATTTTGATAATTATTTTGAAATTGGTTCGAATAAATACATTGTTCTGAAATTTATTCAAATCAAAACATTATTCTGAAATTTATTCGAATAAAATATGATTTTAATTTGAAATTATTGGAATAAAATATTATACGAATAATGTATTATCTAAATTAGTAATAATTAGATAACGTTCTATTCGAATGTTGCACAACTCTGTCCCTCCCTCACCTAACCTAACCTTCTTTTTTATCTAGTGTAGTTACGGAAAAACCAGACCGACAATCGTTATACACTTTGCTTCCCGTCTGACCATCCCCGCCAGTCATCCAATTTACCTAATCTTAAACTTAAAAACTATTGCCTCCCCCCGTTAGTAGCCAGAACCACGAAGGCAGGATTCAGCGTTGGTTAGGTCCTGCTTCTAATCCTCTCCTGGTCTTCCTGCTGTCCCATCTACGAATTCTAAAACTAATGTCCAATTCTACTTGCACTCCTCCATCATCCTACTAAACACGATATTTTTCAGCGAATAGCTCAGGCAGCAGTTGAGAATCTATTTGTTGTTTAAGTAATAGCGCCCGGCAATGATACACGGTGGCGAGTAGTGTCATAAAAGAAAACGTCTAACCCCCTACTGAATAAAATGTTTTCAATGAACTTGCAGCAGCAAGAAACCAGACGCGAAACTTTTTAAGTGACAGCCGAGGGGCGGCCCGAGATTAACTGCACAGGTCGTAAAAAGTTCTTGTTGGCCACCGACAGCTTCTTTTAAGTAATTCGACACTTGAACAACACAAAACCGACACGAAACTTCGAGGGGGGTTTATCGATCATCAGGAGTGAAGTCAGCTGATAATAGACACGGATTTTACACATTAGTCGAGAAAACTATGAATGATAATCAGACGGAGAGACAGATATATAGGACACGACACGCGGGGGATTTATGTGCGAGACGATAAATCGACAGAAGAAGAAAAAAAATATATATATAATAATATCGTATATTATCTTAGCGGTGACCGTTTCCGCCGGCGGTAAGATTTATTTCCCGGAGCTATTCCTTGGCCGGTGTGGGCGGCTACGTCGATTTTTCTCGGACGACAGATATGCGTTTGTGTTTGTACAAGTGTGTATATGTATGTATGTTGTATACAAGTCGGTTTCCCAGATATCCGGATCGACTGCGAGACGCGCAACACCGGATCCCGAGGGATATAAGTCTGCTGCTGCCAGTGTCCGGGAAACGCACCGTCGAGAGAAAATCACCGAGAGTGCGATGCCGTGTACTCCCCAGCGGATTCTCCGGTATTGTCGTTTAATTGATCATCCCCCACCCCCCCCCCCCCAGACACACGTTGAATGATTTTCTATGGGTGTGTCAGTATAACTTTGAGCCACACATAATATTATGTTGACGATGGCCAACTGTACTCTACGCGTTTATTAATGCGATATGCTTGTAACACCGCAACCCGAACTTTTCTAATTGACATTGCCCGTAATTACTTCAACTCCGCCGTGATCGCAAATGGATTTAGCTCCCCTCGCCTCGACACTAGAAATCTGATCGAAATGCAACGCCGTTAAAAGCGTTTTGCCATCGCATTTGTGTGGAATATGTTTGTCCAACGTGTCACGCCCATGGGAAAAGCTAATGAAAATATGCAAATGCAAAAACCGAGATAATCGAATGAAAGAGATTGAAACGACAATGTGTCCAGTGAGATGATTGGATTGGTCGAATTTTGGGCGTAAATAGCACGGAAAATTGGAGATTTAGCAAAACGCGGTCAGGAGAGAGATTGCAATGGAAGAGGATTTCGGAAATTCGGATAGACGGGAGGAGAGGTGTAATCGGATAGGACACGAAAATGTGTGCAGTTGTAGATACCGTTGTTGTTGTTGTTGAAGTGCTCCGAATATATGATGTATGACGTCAAAATGGGTACATTGTAAATGGACAAACCAATAGCCTCTAGAGCTCCTCATCGAAGCTGCTAAAAAAAGTCTTAACAACAGATTTCCCCAACTGGTTAGGTCCGAATTCGTTGTATTAGTTCTTCATTACAATGTGTTAATTTGTTTGATTCAAACGAGGAAAATTGGTACTTCATCCGAGATTTGTAATTTCCGTTATATATCATACTTTAAGGTCCTCTACATTGTGGTTTCTAGTTTTATTCGGATGATCAATAACGTCAATTTGCACCTTTTTGTTTTTTTCCCCCAAGAGGGGGACGACGGCGGCAATCGATTTGTTCTGGTGGAATCATCGCCGTCTATGATAATAATAACGAGAGGAGTTTTGTAGGAGATAAATTTACCGGAAGTAGATGATGCGGAACCCGGAAATAACATGCGACCGCAAAAAAGTTTTCTATATACCCGACGACAAAACTACTCCCTTGGTCTTTTTTTTTTTACGGTTTCCGGAAATCGCTGCGGACGCGGGAAAATACTTATATTCACAACTAGTGGGTAAAAAAAAATACATAAATATATACCGTGTCCCAAAGCGAAGTTAATGCTTTTTTTCCTCTATATGTCTGTTCGACTTGGACCGGAAAAAGGCCAGGGGAGGCGGACACCGCCAATGTAAAATATATCGGCTATCCGGCTATCCAATTCAAAAGCTATCCCCTAGCTGTAGAAGGTGTGCGTCTGCGGTATTATAATGTATATTATATGCGTCCGAGGAGAATAGGGCTGTGCATGTAGTCGGCGTAGGCGGAAAGCCCGACCGACAAAATAACGGTCGCAAAATCCAAACCTCGGTTGGACATGAGAGAACGGCATTAAAAGTGGGATTCCGACCGGAGATATTCGATTTAGATCGTCGACAATCTCTACCACTTTTTTCGAAGGGGGATTCGGATTTAGAAAATACCCAAATTCAGATTTAGTCGGTTCGACTAAGTAAATAGTCGCTTTAACTAAACATATTTTAGTTGGCCCAACTCTTACTTAGTTATTCCAACTTTGCAAGCTTTTAAACGGCACACGATTGATTTCCCGGAATTGTTATCTACTGACGAGATTTGGATTAGGTTGATGTTCCATATTTTGGTTTAATTAGGTTCTAACTATTGAGAACCATCGACAAATGTCGATATTGAGGAAATGAATGAACTCTATCTTTTGATTTATTGAAAGTCGTAGGCCACGCACCGTTAGCGACGAATACTACTAGGAGAGAGCCGGTCCGCGAGATTTGTCTTTGCTAACATTTAACGTGCAGTGTTCGGAAAAGCGCGGACAAAGTTGGATTAGCTGCCGGAAATGGAAATTTATGGCTTTGGCGGATGATGGGCGAAAGAGATATCGGCAAAACCATATCATCACATAGTCCACTCGAAATAACGCTCCGAGACGATAAAGCACGGTGTGTTATTTCTTATTTCGGCAACAAACGCCAGGGAAACGCGAGGGAAAAGTAAGCGGAGATAGATAGTGGGTGAAATGAGGGGATGTGTAATAAAACGTGGAATTGACGTAATAAAATTAACAGCAAATCTCTCCAACGACTTTTGGCGATGGACGAATTAGTTTGGACGGCGCAAATAAAATTTCCATTACGGGCGCATATAAAACGGCGATACGGCGCGCCCCAGAGGTAGATGGCGGAATAAAATTACTGTAAAAACGGGCAGCAAGTGGCTGGAAAACGGCCGCGATGGTAGTTGACGCCGAGGGTTTATGGCGGCGATAAACTCGTTACTTGATTTTCCGAGGCATATACACAACACACACCGACCCCGCACCCGTCTCTTCCTATACAATTATTTTCCACCGGGCTGCCTCCTCTGCTCCGGTAACGGCGGTTTTTGACTGCCTGTTTTTACGGCGTCACAACAGTAACCGTTGCCGCCGGTGGTTCTCCCCATAACGATCCCGGGCCAACCCCCGCCCCGGGTACTCTTTTACAGCCCCCCTGCCGACCCTCCCCGGCCGGGGCAGGGCGGGCAAATTGTCCGTAGCCCCCAATTACCACCGGCAAATTGCCCCGTCGGCTGGCTGGCTCTTCATATCCCCTTCTTCTGTGGGGCGCTACCCCGTTTAGCGAAAGCACACAAATTGCCCGCTGCCGTTTTTACGACCTTCGGGGGACGGGGAAGGGGGTGAGGCGCACGGCCGTAAAACTCTCGTTTTACCGGTCGTTTGCCCGTAAAGCACACGGAAAGCCCATGAAAAGTTCTATTACCTCAAACTGCCCCGCGCCGCCGAGATTCCAACGAAAACGGCTCAATACGGTTAAACACAAATTACAAACATAAAATACACCCCCGGACGACAGGCCGTCCACGACAGAAGGTAATGATAATAATGGACTGACTGATTTACAGCTAGGCTACTGGTTGTGCTGGGGATTTGTATTATAACCTAACCTAACCTAACTGCTCAACTGCTGCTGAATTATAGTAGCGAGAACGCTCATCGAGGGAGCTTCAGACAACACCGTACCTTGCTAATCTCCTAATATCCGTGTAAAACTAATAGTAATAACAATAATGATGATAATTATCTTACCGGCTCGGTTTGACTGGTCGATCATCGGCTGAACGATGCGCCGACGAGCGTTTATGAACCTGTGAACATAAAAAAAAAAAAATTAAACATAAATTACAAAATCAATTTAGGTGTTGTTGGAATGAAATAATTAAAACGCATTAATCGAACGGGGGTTGTGGGGAAACGGGGACCGGGCACACACACACGGTGTTGGCAAATTATTAAAACACAAATATAGTATCGTATATTATGTAATAAACGATGGCGGCGGTCCTCGTCGTTAAGTGCACCCGGTGTGTGACTTTAAGCATTCTGAGCTTCGACCCCGTTGCCGGTAGGTCGGCGACATCGTCGCACATGTAGTCCCCAATCAACACCACCCGAGTGATGATGATAATAATAATAATAATATAACAATATCGTGCGAACCAGCTGTTGCCACACGCTCTACTCTCTTAACGGCCCCGTCTGTGACCCCGCTATCAAAAGGGATACGGGGGCCGAATAACGAGTAAAACATTATACAACTGGCCCGGGTACATAAATCCGGGATCACAATATAAATGCGACCGGGCAAACGTCTTCCATATTTTTAAAATAGTAATGTAATTAACAGAGTGAGCACAATGGTGCGACTAGCGCTGAGCTAGAGATGAGGCTAACACAAGGATCCTGCTGTTAGAAGCGAGGGAAGAGGGCGGTAAAGTAAAACGTGTGGGCAATTGCCGACAGCTTGGTCTACATGTAAATGGCAGAAAGGGACAGAGAGTCAAGAGCCAATTTAAAAGCACCAAAAGGCAGGCAAAAGGTTATGACCGCCTCTCGAGTCGTAAAAAGGAGGAAATAATAATTGGCGGAACCGCGGATAACCGAGGGGACTAGGAATGACAACAAGCCGATGGCAAGGGAAGACCACTTGGCTAGCTTTGGCACAGCGTTTGAAGAAATGAAGAGCCATCAGAATTTGTGAGATGGAATGCAGGAATATAATATAGGCGCGAGTAGTATAATACTTGAGGAAAACATATATTCAGGTCTTATTTTTTTTTTTTTGCTACCCTATCAATTAACCACCAAATATTATAGTGTTCAAAAGCTTGCGGTTCGCTTGGAAAATATAAAAACCCTTAAAAGTAAATTCTCCGTTGTGCGCCCAGCAGTAAAACTAATCCGGAGCAAGAGAGTGAATTTATTTTTATAATCTTAATCCTCCCGGCTTTGGTCGTGTACGCGCGCTCCTCCTCTTAACGACAGCGCCATTAGTGAAGTGCAAGTGTTATTTACGCCGCTGTGTAGGTATTATAAGGGAGTTTTTTTTAAATATTATTTAGACGGTTCGCCGGTGGCCGATGAACCCCGCCGAATCGATAATGTCGTTTAAAAAAAAAAAAAAAAAACAAAAACCGAACAGAAGGGACCGTTTTTTTTCTTCTATAATTAATTTACAATTACACCACTCTTTCGGCCGTCGAAGACATACTACACCACGAAACAACGCTTTTGGAATAATTGCGTTTGGGCGAGCTATCCGCAGTAATTACCAAACACAGAGTCTCGTTTGAATTTCGCCATCTACCCCGCGGCAACGAACCCGAGAACTTACAAGTCTCGTATATAATAATAATAATATACAACCTAGGGGGGTCTGGGCGGTGGAGGTTCAAGAGAGAGGACATAAAAATGTTATATATACGTGTGTGTGTGTGTGTGTGTGTAATAATGTACGGTATAGAGGTTATAAGAGAACGACGTATACGGAAATAACGGCGGTCCGTATAACAATCTCCTGTAACCGCCGAGGATTTAAGCCAGAGATAGAAATCCCACCGCCACATAAACAACAATATATACCGGGCCCGGAGTAATCTCCCGTATATACACACACATATATATATATTTATGTATATATACATAGAAAGAAACCACCCCTAAAACGCATTACTTTAAATCTGCCCCCCACCCCCGGCACCACCGTCGTCTCGCCATACCTCGGACGTTTCCAAATCTCCTCTATATTGCGGACAAATTTTCCATCGAGGGTTTTCCTTCCATTTTTTTTTTTTTTTTATTAATATGGTCAAAAAAAAAAAAAAACAGACACGACGCGCTGCACTGTCCCGACTTGTTACAACGCTGACACGATAATACAGAAAACAGCAGCCGAAGTTGCAAATATTCTCTGCTTAAAAGCGTGTACACACCTTTCGTGCCAATATCAGCAGCTTCGACCGCGATAACAATAATTGCATTCGTATTGCCGGGGACTTGTACAGCTATTAGTATATTGTTTTCTGACAAACAACACACAAAAGCGACACGGGTCTAAAATCGCTCGAGGGCTACAACAGCTCTCTCTTTACCACACACACACACACACACTTAACGCCCGGTGGGAATTCTCCACCGACACAACAAGTGCAGGGCTGCTGCTGTTGTTTTGTGTTTTCAGTCAAGTGGCAGGCAGCGCACACATCACCGTCCTGACGCGTGTAAGACGCCACCAAATAGGGGTGGGTGTGGACGGAGGGGAAAGTTAATCAACGGCAATTACATTCCCACCACCACACTGCCCTCTCGGTGTGTTTTCCCGGGATTACACAGCGACACGAGGAAAAAGCAACGTTATTGGAAAGAAAACCGAAACCGGACGATGTGGAAATCATTATTGGCCGACCAGGGGCCCCTGACTCGGTTCGACCCTTGCGCTCTCGGAAGGGTTGTTTTTTTCCAACGGTAATTTTACACATTTCTCCTAAGCTCTAAGAAGTCTTCGGCCATCACTGGCGTCATTAGCGTGTGTTTGCGCGCGCGTTCGCCGATAATCAACTTCTAACCCCCAAAAATGTTATTGCAACGGGCGGGCGCGCGCACACACACACACACAATTGTAACCCTTTGTATACTTACACTCTCTTTAGCCCTTCTCTCTCTCTCTGCTAAGCAATGCCCACAATACATATACAATTCACGGTACGCCGATTCGGCGATTAGTGCCTCGGTGCGTGACCGGGTGATTAATGATACACAACAGCAACGACAACAACAACAACATTCGGCGGGTGTGGGGTACAAAATGTGTGTTGTATACAGTCCTTATATATGTATATATATATATGCACGGCTGCAGATGCGGGCGAGGGGTGGCGATCCTTAATCGAAAATATACACGAAACGTTAATTACATTAAGAAGAAAACTCCGGTCGTTGTCGGAGAGAGAGAGAGAGAGAGAGAGAGGAAAACGTCGAACGGTAAAAGTATCGACCGTGTAATATAATATTAATAAAATATTATTATAGAAGACTGTCGAGTGCCGAGCTGCGGGCAGAACATTAAAAATTCGAACGGAGCGAAGGAAGGCTATCCGAATAATCATCTACACACATTATTCGATTGATTCTCCAAACTCAATTATTCGATTATAAAATATGTAATTACAATAATTTCAAACTCGCTTAGTCGAATAACTTTCAAACGTACAACATAATCCCCAAGTGACGAGAAACACAATTTTTATCCGAATATAAATTGTGAAAAAGAGGACGTCGCCCCTTTAATCAAGGCGAAAGTGTTTGCGAAAACCGCCATGAAGTAAAGACCAGAGGACACGATAGCATAGGTCAATAAGATGAATGCGAAAATACATCTTTCTTTGAAACAACTTTTTCCCTGAGTAATGTAGTTCCCTCGGACATCTTGTCAAGTGTTTTATACCACTAAAACCACTTTGAAAATCATCGATAAGACGTCTCTCTTAAGGTTCAATTCGACCAACGACAGCAAACGAGCTATGAAAATATTTTTCGTATTACGTTCTTATTCGAACAAAGAATACGTTCGTGTAAAACTCTGGCCGGCCTATTGGCGGTGCACATACGGGCCACGATAACGGACCTTTGTGCAGCACCTTTGCGGGGCTTTCGGAGAATTACAACAGCCAAACCATAGTTACCCCCACAGTGACTTCCCTCTCCGCCCGGGCTTTTCTCAGGCCTTTTGAACGCGCCGCAGCCGACAACAATCCCGCGTGGTATTATAATCAGGTCGTATGCGCGTCCGGACACGTACTCGGGCCGGGGAAGAAAAAAAAATACCGAAATTGGTCGGAAAAATAAAGGTTAAATCCTCGGGATTTTTAACCCTGCCCAGCCCGCCAGCCCTGTCCGCCATATGCGCGCGCGTGTGTGTGTATTATTATTACTTTACGGTATCCAATTTTCTCTCCCGTACGCCATAAATATCACGCCCCCTTTGCCGACGAGGCCGGGCACGCGTCGAATGGAAACGGCCTTCATTATGGTATAAGTATATAATATATATATATTGCGCCGAGGCGAAGAAAATGTGGAAAATTAGACGTCTTCCGAATTATTATTATTATTATTATTAAACCCCTAAGCAGCAGCAGCAGCAGCAGCAGCAGCAGCAGCAGCAGCCGCAGCACTCGTGTGGCAATCACCGAGTCCGGCTGCTATACTATACTTTGGCTCGAAGAAAGCGCGGAAAGGTCAATTTTCGAGACGTTGTTAAAAGACACACACACACACACAACAGAGTAATAAGTAAATGTGTAACGACGTTAAAAAAAAAAAAAAAACCATTTTTAAAAGCGGCGGTTTAATTATACATAATGGACAAACGACAAGGGCGACGGGCGAGGTCGTCTGGGTGACGACAATGGCGCATTATGCTAATGCATTATCGAGGGGCCATGTGTTGGCTTGCACTGTATATGCGTGTGTGCGTCTCGTTCTGCTGGTCGACATAATGTATAATATATATATATAATATCATGCCGAGGGAGAAGCAGCAAGCGTGACACTTAGCGTGATGTATATTGACAAAAATTAACGACGAGATAGACGCGCTTTTGGGGGGGGGGAAACGTCTTATCTCGACCGTGATTACCTATATACTTACAAAAAAAAAAAAAAAAAAAAGCCATTCCCCATAAATATACATATTTTTATACACAATAATATAAACGCATCTAAAACGATTATTTTTTTTTTTTTTTTATTCCGAACAGATTAAAACGCGTAATATTATTGTTGTATATGGTAATGTGGCCATTTTTTA